TATATATATATATATATATATATATATATATATACACATAATGTTTTTTGGAATGCTCTTGGTCAGAAGTGCCATGTAAACATACATTAAAACATCTATCCCAAATACATATGAACACTCAGCCATGTACCATTACATGTTGCCACTAGTGAAGTATATAAAAAAGCTGAAGGCAACATCTTTTAATCTATATTTAAATCATAGTTTAGCGTGTTTACACAATGATTCCTCATTTTTACAAGAGCACAATGAAAACAGTACTGCTCAGACAGTTGAATTTGAAGCTGCTAAGCAGACTGTGCACTTTAGCAAACACATTCTTACTTTTTGTTTGATCAGACTTCCCTTTGAGGCTTGAATAAAAGCAACCGTTTTATCAGGAGTTGTGGATATTTGCTGTGACTGTGCAAAGCCTGGACTGAAGTCGATGAAAAACGTAAATGTGACAGTAAAGGACAGTGAGGTGTGTACTAGCTACCACCATTTAGAAAATAGTTACATTTTTAAGTCAAGTAAATGTCGTTTAATGTTGTATTCTTGCAGGAAACTCGTTTGAAAGATAAATTTCATGCATGTTTCAAATGTAGGATTGAGAATAATATTCATCCTTCTCTGCTAAAGCGAGAGGTACAACCATGATTTAAAAAAAAAAAAGTAGTATTTCATTTGTGCATAAAAGTACAATAGCTGATAGGTGGACATTACTTGATCGTGGTTGTGGAGTGATCTTCTATACCTCATACTGTATTGAATATATGCCCCAAATATGCAGCCTGTATTTCTTTAAAAAAGTACTACATTTTTTTTAAGCTACTATTAAAATAGTGTATACCGATGATACTATATATCATCTGGCTAGAAACAACACTACCTGCCATATTAGACAAAATTATATTACTTTGGCTTTTCTCTGGATATAGGATAAATATGAATAAAAGTTCACTAATGCCTATACATGTGAATAATTTATCTTGAGTATGAACTCTTCCACGGGCAGCACGGTGGTGCAACTGGTAGAGCTGCTGCTTCTCAGCGAGCAGGTCCCCGGTTCAAATCCTGGTCTGGGAGCCTTTCTGGGTGGAGTTTGCATGTTCCCTCCGTGCATGCGTGGATTTTCTCCGGGTACTCCGGTTTCCTCCCACAGACCAAAAACATGCATGTTAGGCTGATTGGTAGCTCTAAATTGTCCCTAGGTGTGAGTGAGAGAGTGAATGGTTGTTTGTCTCTATGTGGCCCTGTGATGGACTTGCGACCCGTCCAGTATGTACCCCGTCTCTCGCACATTGATTGCTGGACATGGGCACCGGCGACCCCCATGACCCAAAATGGAAGAAGTGGGTAAAAGATAATGGATGGATGAATCTCTTCCATTTAGTATAGCTTATAAGAAGTTCATTTACTTGAGGATTCAGGTAACAAGATGTCACACCTTTTTACCAAAGCTTAACTTTTCCTCTTTATTATCTGAGCTTCAGTCGAATAAAAAGTTTTGGAACATGCTTCCTATATCACTCATTGGTAGAGTAAATGCAAAAATATATACATAATATTGCCCAAACTATTATATTTATTTAAAAGTCTCTCGGTATATAGTAGTCCCTCGCTACTTTGCGGTTCGTTTATTGCGGACTCCCTCTATCCCGGTTTTTCAAAATAAGATTGGACAGGACACACAATTGGCTGATTGATGGATGAGCCACATGATCGGCATGGAAATACTATTTTAAATGACTTTAAATTATTTAGCACCTGCTGCACATTTGTGCATGCCCAGAGCTGCGGAAAAAGCTTCCTCCTGCACCTCTGTGCAGCCCATACTGCAGGATAAACTTCCTGCTGCAGCTGATCAGCTGTTCATCGTGCAAGCAGAGAAGTGGGCATGGCCATTAAAATAAAATACCACTTACTACTTGTACTACTAGTCCTACTTCGCGGTTTTTCCACTTATCGTGAGTCTTCAGTAGTCCCTCGTTTATTGTGGGGGATCCGTACCCTGTATATACAAATCTTATTTTTAAAATTATACTCTTCTTGCTTTTTTCTGGAGCAATAAAACTCACAGGATTGCTAGGAAACACCTTTGCAAGTATAGAAAGGAGGGAGACCTTCATACAGGTCTGCTCCAATCACCACTCTCTCCTCCCTGGGAATATTCTATGACTTCATCAAGATCCGTCCAGTTTTTTTTCCCTTTCTCCTCTCCGTCACATTCAACCTGTAGAGTATAACCACTGATAACATTTAGCATCATACCTTCTAGCATCATACCTTCTACTTCTACCTTCAGACACATCACCCTATCTGACACACTCTTCACCTCTACTACATTCTTTGCCAACTCCTCCTTCAGTACCACCCCTACTCCATTTCTCTTTCTATCCACACCATGGTAAAACGGTTTACACCCTGCTCCAATGCTGTAAGCCTCGCTGCCCTTCCACTTGGTCTCTTGGACACATAAAACATCTACCTTCCATCTCTGCATCATGTCAGCCAGCTCTCTATTTTTTGCCCGTCATTGTCCCCACATTTAGAGTTTCCACCCTCAGTCCTACATTCTTGACTTTCCTCTTCTCCCTCTGTCTCCTGACATGTCCCCTCCTTGTGGTCTTCAACCAACAGTAGCACAATTTCCACCGGCACCCTGTTACTGGTGGCGGCCTTTGTTAATCCCAGCCTCTAGAGATCCGGTATGGTGTTGCTTAAATTAACTTGCATATTTTTGTGGGGGGTTTTTGTGTG